GAAAATCGCAAAAACACTGCCCGGACGTGACGCAACGTCCGTTTTGTGTCCGTTTTGGTTCCAACCTTGCGTGGGGGCCTACGTTGGCCGTGCCCACATGTACGCACACTTTGGTGCAATTGCATGCATGCGATCACGTAGCCTCAGTGCAACCAGCTACTTCTCGGTCTGCCGGGGAGTGGGTTCCCAACTACGATTTTTTTTCTACTTCGTCAAACGTCACGACACTTTTTCCACACGTTGCCATCACCATCCACAGCACCCACGCCAATTCTCACAATTTTTCAACCCTCGACGCATTTTCTAGGGTTTCCTAGGCTAAAGTACCCTACACCGATGTCCGGACACACACTGAGCGACGTGTGTTTCATGTCTGATTTCGTTCATATCGTGCGTGTAGGACTACATTCGGGATGCACACACACTCGCAAAATTTTGTTCTGTTACACGCATGCAATCACGTACTTTAGCGTCCTTACTATTTTATTATGTTTTAGCATATTTTCGTGTACAAATTCATCACCAAATCAAAACTCTCGAATGAAATGGACAAAAGAAATTTCACTTAAATTTCATTCAACATAGATAAAATATTTTACATAGTCGAGCGAACTCGATGATTACAAGTTCATACATAAAGTCTACTACCTAGCTTACAACGTCATAACCAAATTAAATAAAAACACAGTAAAAAAACTACTCGTTGTCGCTATCAACGAGGTCAATCACGGCCGGGCCGTCGCCGCCATCATCATCGCTGCTGGACCGGTTGGCGAGGTCGTCCCAGTCCACCGGATCGTCGTCGGAATCCTCCTCCGCCGCCGGCGCCCGCTGCCACTCCGCCGGCGCCTGCTCCCACTCCTGCTGCCACTCCGGCGGCACCTGCTGCCACTCCAGCACCGCCATCGCCGCCTGCTACGCCGCCTCGGCCGCCTGGATTGCGGCCGCAATCTCGGCGACCTCCGTCGCCTTCGCCACCGCCGCTGCAGCCTCCGACGCCCATACGGCCACGTGGTACCCCGGCGTGTCATTCGGATCGCCATCCTCGCGGAGGAGGACCTGCTCTGGTGGCAAGTCTATCCCCGGCGGCGAGGGAGGGGCGGCCGGCGCGGGCGCCGGTGCCGGGTGCACACCGTGGCCGCCGCCACGTCTGTGGCCTTCGTGCGGTGGAGGCGGTGCGCGAAGACGGCCGCTGTGGCCCGTCAGGTCGGGGGTCTCGCCGGCCGCCGCAAGGCGGAAGGCGGCCATGACCTCCCAATAGTCCTTCCCGCACCAAAACCGCTTCCGGCCTTCGATATTGTGCCGGCCGCCGCTGTGGTTGCGGAGCTCCTCCTCCGTCGCGCTGGGACCCGGCATCGCGTTGTCGTCCGCGTCGATCTTCCACTTGCGTGGAAGACGGCAGCCCGACGGCACAGGGAGGCAGTAGCGGTGGAGCTCCAGCGTCTCCGGCACACCGATGCTCGTCGGCCATGCGCCGGGGACGTCGGAGGCGGAGCCGCCGCCGCCGGTGCTGCTGCTGCCACGGAAGAACGACATCGGGTGCGGGCAGGCGGCGACGGGCGTCGGTGGGATGGGTGTGGGCGGGGCGGGGGAGGAGGCGGGCAGGCGACAGCGCGGTGGGACGGGCGTGGACGGGGCGT